CCCCAAAACCCCAAAACCCCAAAACCCCAAAACCCCTAAATTTGTTATATTATTGAAGCATCAATAATATTTAATGGACATAGAAGGTGAAGTTCCTTTTCAACAGAATAATCAGATGTCTGCTCCTGAAATAGGGAGGAGTCATACGGAAGAAGATGAAGAAGGCCCCTTAATAAATTATGATCCTCATCTTGTCCAGGAGAGACAAAGACACCAGCCTGGGTTGCTCCAGGTGATCCTTGATTATACGATTTATCCGATAGGCAGAGGTATCAAATATATTATCCCCAATTTTATCAAGAGAGGGATCACTGATCTTTTCAGATCACAACTCCCAGGTGAAAAGTTTCTGGAAAATTTGAAAGATGATGACGTATTTACTGATGAGTTTGTTGAAACAGAAAATTTGTTTGCAATTTGGCAGATTAACACCTTCAAGAATGCAGTATTCGCAGCTCACTTCAAGAGGAAACCGATCTTGTTTATTATGGCAGATCTCATGAATGACGAAAGCTTGGAAATCCTTCAGGCTATTTTCCATGACGAAGAAACCCTAAAAATTATTAGTTCTAATTTTATCGTTTTTGGTGTAGAATATGGGAATACTGAAGGAGATAACTTAGCACTAGAATTCGACATCAGAATCAGTCCTCATTTCGGAATAATAATGGCTAAATCAGATACTGAATATGACGATATTGCTTGCTTCAACGACGCTAATGTAGAAATCGAGGGTTTCAGGACCTTCTTAACAAACTCCTTCGGCACCTTCAAATATCTCTCAGAAGCCATGGCCAGGGGTCTTCATCACCAAGCTCCAGAGAACCTCGAATCTTCTGAAGACCTTGAAAATCCCGAAATTTACCAAATCGACTTCGAGGCGGAACAAAGAAGACTAGAAGACCGAGCTATTCGGGAACAGCAGAAGAGAGAATACGAGAAAGCTCAAGAAGAAGACAGACTCAGATTCTTGAAACGGAAGGAAGAGGAGCACAAGGAGAAGCTGAAGCAGCAAGAAGCAGAGAATCTAGGTGAAGTCATGAGAGAGCTAGCGCAAAAGAAGAAGGACGAACTCCCTTCAGAGCCATCTGAAGGGACAATTATTAAGTTTAGAGAGCCTGAGAATGGGAAGACTTTTATTAGAAAGTTTAATCCTTCAGACACTGTGAGTATTCTTTATGATTATGTGCAATCTAAATTGGATGAGATTGAATTTGAGGAGGATACAGTTCTTTTTGAGATAGGAGTAATTGAAGGGGGATTCAAAGTTTTGGAAGATAGAGAGAAAACACTTGAGCAAGAAGGCTTATGTCCCTCAGCTACCTTGCATATCAGAGAAGTTGGAAGAGAGGAAGAAAGTGAAGAAGAAGACTAAAATTTATGTATATTTTAATCTTAAAAACTTATTTATGAAAATCAATTATCCAAAAATAACCAAATTTCAAAAATTGGCTTCAAAACCCCATACTCCAATTCTCCTTCTCTTATTCTTGATTTTCCGATCTTTCTCACATTAAGGAACCTCTATCTCCTATCCCATTTCCTTATTCTAAACCCTTCAATTTTCCCTATAAACTCCGGGGTTTTGGGGTTTTGGGGTTTTGGGGTTTTGGGGTTTTGGGGTTTTGGGG